GCAAATAAGCAAGCCGTTCGGCATGTCATTACCCACTGCCCGGCTTCCTGATTGCCCCAGAAGCCGGCTCCATGCCAGCAGAAGTATCGGTACTCCGCATCGGCGAGTGCCGAAAGCAAAGTATTGGCACTCGTACTCTATACCAAAAAAACGGTATCGGTGCATTACCTACTTTAAACAATGCCATTTCAAAAGCAAGACCTTTGAACTTAGAAGGGCCAATAAGGGGCTTCTGTTAAACCAATACAAAACACAAAAAGTCCCCAGAACACCTGCCAGCTAGCCTGCAACAAAACAAGTTACCCCGTCTAACAGTATGCACGCTGCGTCCCTGCACCTTGTGAGGAGGAGGAGTAGGCTACCTCCTGGCACACCTGCATTTAATTTATCGACTTCACTAATATGCTCCAACATGGAGACTCATATAAACAGAGTTGGGACCACACTTCACAGAGGAGCCTTGCCGGGGCGGTGTGGCTTCTACATATTTTTGGCCAAAGGTTTGTGCAACTAAAACCTCCACTTTTAACGCATACTGTTACACCCCATTCACACCTAGGCGTATTGTAATATGCGCGTCTGTCGCGCGACCGGCACGCAGTTTTTTTACCGCAATTCGCGGTAAAAAAGTCGCGCGACCGTCGCGCGATTCCAAAGGCTACTTGGCAGTATCCCAATGGAAAACGCCCTACAAAACGGCCCAAAGTAGTCCCGGGACCTTTTCAGGCGTGGGCCGTTTTGTAGGGCGTTAGGGACGGGCGGAAATACGGCGAGGTGGGAACCAGGGCATTGACTACAATGCAATTTATATTTTTGACCGTTTTGTAGAGCGTTCGTCGAGCGTAGAACGCCCTACAAAACGGTCAGGTGTGAACGCAGCCTTAGAGTAATTTGTTTTGTTGCAGGCCAGCTGGCAGGTGTGCTGGGGACTTTTTGTGTTTTGTATTGTTGTAAGCCTTCCCATGTGCACAATGCTACCCAGATAGCAAGCCATTGAGCTGCAAGTTTGGAAATGACTTGCTAAACTATTGCAGACTTGCCGAGCGTCACAATCTTGTTGCACAATTACAGCAAGTCTGCGTTGCAAGTCTCCAGACCAGCCAGCTTGCAGAGCTCTTGCTAAGACCTGCAGGACTCTTGCTGTAGACTTGCCGAGCAAATTTGCTACAAATTCAAAAAGTGTCACCTAGAACTTGTGCTGCGAGTGTTCTGCAAGTCTACAACCTGCCAGGAATGTGCGCAGCAAGATAACAAGAATTACAATTTCACCCGGACACATGTTTGTGCCAAGTTATCCTCGCTATCTGGGTACATAGGCTGGTTAAAAATGTATTCTGTGTAAACCAGCCCCCTCATTTCCCCAGGGGGGTATACTTTTTTTTTATGTTGCTTTTTTTCTTCCTCGTGCATCCTCGTAAACGTTACAGCAACGCAGTAAGGTGAACCAGGCCTGAGGGTTTTGCCTAATTTAAATTTGGCAAAGAAAACAGAACCAATGACCCCCGTCACAATGAGCGACAGAATGGGCCGTGGGGGGGCGGGGCGTCAGGGGAATCCCCAGGAGTACCACAAAAATTAGGTAAAAAGAACCTAACAGAGGAGGGGGACGTGCACCGTCTCCTAGCAACCAGGCGGCGCGCCTGCATAAAGCGTATTGGATGCCTGCTACCTGTATGCATACTGTTTACATTATAGCTCCGCCTACTGGTTGCTAAGAGACGGCACGGACGTACGGTCCAGTCGCTGTAGGTAGCGGGGGCGTGGCCAGCCGTTTGTTGGAAATGGATGACTTAATTGCAATTGACAGCTCATTAGGTCTGCCCCGCCCACTTTTCCCTTCCCGTGTCCCCCCAATGTATCCCCCTATGCTGTGTATACGGGGTCCCTCCATGGCAGCCCCGCTTTCCGTTAACATGAGCCCCTTCATCGGGCTGATCAGACATCCCACCCTCGGCTCTGCCTGGGATCAAAGTTCGGCCGGTGTACAGGTGATGCCGGAGATCGGCATGTCTGGGCTTGTCAGGTGTCATTAATCTACCGGCACCGGACGAGCGATGACACACACCGGAAAGTGACAGAAACCATCCCCACGCCCCCCGTACTGTGACATACACCGACCTGGAGAACACAGACGAGCGATCTTCACCGATTATCACCGATAATGGGCAAAGTTCTGATGACAACTACACCCGGACAATGACCGGCCACAGCGCCACCTAGAGAACAGAGACCGAACGTGTCCCCGTCTGGAGGACAGAGACCGGGATGAGTCATCTGGGTGCAGCCGGGGGTGAAAGGGCGATGTGCCAAACCAGGAAATAACAGGACCGACAATAACAAGAGAGGGGACACTAAACTAGGGGACACTGAGCTCTGGGATTGAAGGCCATGAACGCCAATCGCAGGGACACCAAACTAGGGAGTACAAGACTTATACCAAGGCCGGGGAATACCAAGAGAGGGGACAGAAAACTAGGGGACACCAAGCTAGGGAGTACCAAGAAAGGAACCCCGAACTTTGGAATAGAGGGCTATGAACATCTAAGCTCAGCAATATCAAGCAAGGGGACACCAAGCTCAGCAACACCAAGCTAGGGGACACCGGGCTCAGCAACACCAAGCTAGGGGAGACCGAGCTCAGCAACACCAAGCTAGGGGAGACCGAGCTCAGCAACACCAAGCTAGGGGACCCCGAGCTCAGCAACATCAAGCAAGGGGACACCGTGCTCAGCAACACCAAGCTAGGGGAGACCGAGCTCAGCAACACCAAGCAAGGGGGCACCGGGCTCAGCAACACCAAGCTAGGGGTGACCGAGCTCCGCAACATCAAGCTAGGGGAGACCGAGCTCAGCAACATCAAGCTAGGGGACACCGAGCTCAGCAACAACAAGCTAGGGGAGACCGAGCTCAGCAACACCCAGCTAGGGGACCCCGAGCTCAGCAACACCAAGCTAGGGGACCCTCGAGCTCAGCAACACCAAGCTAGGGGACTCTGAGCTCAGCAACACCAAGCTAGGGGACTCTGAGCTCAGCAACACCAAGCTAGGGGACACCGAGCTCTGCAACATCAAGCTAGGGGAGAACGAGCTCAGCAACACCAAGCTAGGGGACACCGAGCTCAGCAACATCAAGCTAGGGGACACCGAGCTCAGCAACACCAAGCTAGGGGACCCTCAAGCTCAGCAACACCAAGCTAGGGGACCCTCGAGCTCAGCAACAGCAAGCTAGGGGACCCCAAGCTCAGCAACACCAAGCTAGGGGACCCTAAGCTCAGCAACACCAAGCTAGGGGACCCCGAGATTGGAAAGGCCCTGCTAGGGAATACCAAGCAGCGGGGC